TGACATAAGTTGATTTGATTCAGACGTATAAAATTTCAAAGTTAAAAAAAAAAAATTCCCATGTTATTTAAATGGGAAATAGAAAATTGCGATCCGCGACCTCTAAATATTCAAATTAAAAGCTCAAATTTTGACGAGGTCTTTGTGTTGACATCCTCTGAAAGAATTTGCCGACCATTTGAAGAAAAAGAAAAAGTCGATTTTTTTGAAACACCCTAATGTATAGTAGTAGGGGAAATTAAAATAATATATAAAGTCAATTTATTTCTTACTTTTATTATATTAATTTTATTGTTGTAGTACCCGTTGTACCTAATTAATAATCATGAGTAACATTCTTGCCAAACTGAATGATTGTCAAACTCTACCATTTATTAAAATTAAGACTTAGAAGAAAATAAAAAATATGAGCTTGTTGAAAAAGCTGATGGAAAATATGGTGAGTTTATAATTGTAAAAATAAAGGAACTTCCAAATTATATAATTTTACCACAACGTTTTTCCAAACTAATTCCGGAATTAGGAAAAATTAACCGAGAAATCAATAATAAAAAAATGTACTTAATTATGGAAGTTTCTAATGATTATTATAATGTTTAATTTGAATAAATCAATTTGTTTAAAATACTTTTTACTTTTAATTTGGTATATGGTTTAATAATTGGTTTTTATATTTTAGGAATATTAATTAAATAACATATTTTTAATAATTTTATAACCTTTAATTTTATTTTATGTTTTAGGAATATTTAAACATTTTTTTTTAAATATTAAACCCTTAGGCACCTCGTTAAGTACAATAAAATTTAACATTTTCCATAGCAAAAAGATGATAATTTAAAGAATTTAAAAATTAAAATTAATTATAAATAAATATTGTGTACCGTATTTTTTTGATCAAAATAAATGTTTTAAGATTATTTCTTGTTTTCATTAATTTTTTAACCTGCTTTCTTTTTTGATCCTAATGATTTGGTAGGGGGCAAGTAATATATATAAAAGGCAGTTTAATTTTAGCTGTATTACATTCTAGAAGTAGAATAAAACAAGATGCATTCTGTAAAAAATTTCATCATAAAAATGAAAACAGTTAGAGAAGAAAGAAGAAAATTGAGAAAAAACAATGAGATGCTGCAGGATCCTGAAGAATGGCAGGACGACTTCACTCAATTCGATTTGTTTGGAATCCGTTTTTTAGAAAGATGGGGTGAGGATAGTTACCTAGATGATTGGTTCCACCCAGCGTGGACCAAAGGATACCTATGGTTTTACAATTTATAAAAAATAAAGTTTTAAAACTATGGTTTTACAATTTATAAAAAATAAAGTTTTAAAAATATTTAATGTTTTAATTAATCCTGTTAAATAAATTTATATATATATATATTAAGTTTGATATTATATTATATTATATTATTAAGTTTGATAATATAGGAAAACGAATAGAAAAATTAGAAACAAGCATAAGTATGTAAAACTTATGCAACATTGCGCAAAAAAGATTTGTTATGTATAGTAGGGTGTTTAAAAAAAATCGACTTTTTCTTTTTCTTTAAATGGTCAGCAAATTCTTTCAGAGGATGTCAAAACAAAGACCTCGTTAAAATTTGAGCTTTTAATTTGAAGATTTAGAGGTCGCGGAGCGCAATTTTGTATTTCCCATTTAAATAACATAGGAATTTTTTTTTTAACTTTGGAATTTTATACGTCTATATCAAATCAACTTATGGCAAGGAACATCTTATATTTTTATAGTAAATTTAACGCTCTATAAAAAATGTCTCTTATAATTTTTCTATAAATTGATTTCTTCCAGAGTTATTCGAGGCCAAAGTTTGATTTCCATCGAATTTTCTCGTTTTTTTCAACTTTTAGCATCATGTAGAAAAAAAATCACATATTTATATCTGAAACATAGGAAGTGTTGTAAAAAAACAAAAAAAACAAAAAACGTCACTTTTTTCCAAAGCCTACTACAAAGTTTTAATGAAAATATGAGATGTGTATAATATGCAAAGTAATTTATTTATAAATGCATTTTTCTCGAAAATGGTGCATCTGAGCAATTCAAATCAAGAGTACCTATTTTTCGTAAAAAACTATAAATTCTCATAATTTCATAAAAAAAATTAAATTATTAACCCAGAAAAAAGTTGGGGCTATTTTTGTAACTTTGCCCCCTCCAAATGTTACACCTATGATTAAATTTTAACAGTTTTGATCATAGATCTAGATTCAGCATGTCAAAATTACCAAAGTACCTACCGAAAATTCATTTGTTCATGTTCAACCCTCTAGGAATAGTTTTAAAAAAATTATCCTCTTAGGCTCCTATTCAGGGGCCCGTAGCACCTTTAGGGAGCATTTTTTGATACATGTTTATTAAACAAAAAAAGTGTACGAATAATGCACTGTTTAAGTTTGGCCCCCTGATTTCGGGACACCCGTATAATGATAATTGAACCATAAATGTTAAAAAAACGCGAAAATTCGATGGAAATAAAACTTTGGCCTCGAATAACTCTGGAAGGAATTAATTTATAGAAAAATGATAAGAGACCTTTTTTGTAGAGCGTTAAATTTACTATAAAAATCTAAGATGATCCTTGACATAAGTTGATTTGATTCAGACGTATAAAATTTCAAAGTTAAAAAAAAAAATTCCCATGTTATTTAAATGGGAAATAGAAAATTGCGATCCGCGACCTCTAAATCTTCAAATTAAAAGCTCAAATTTTGACGAGGTCTTTGTGTTGACATCCTCTGAAAGAATTTGCCGACCATTTGAAGAAAAAGAAAAAGTCGATTTTTTTGAAACACCCTAATGTATAGTAGTAGGGGAAATTAAAATAATATATAAAGTCAATTTATTTCTTACTTTTATTATATTAATTTTATTGTTGTAGTACCCGTTGTACCTAATTAATAATCATGAGTAACATTCTTGCCAAACTGAATGATTGTCAAACTCTACCATTTATTAAAATTAAGACTTAGAAGAAAATAAAAAATATGAGCTTGTTGAAAAAGCTGATGGAAAATATGGTGAGTTTATAATTGTAAAAATAAAGGAACTTCCAAATTATATAATTTTACCACAACGTTTTTCCAAACTAATTCCGGAATTAGGAAAAATTAACCGAGAAATCAATAATAAAAAAATGTACTTAATTATGGAAGTTTCTAATGATTATTATAATGTTTAATTTGAATAAATCAATTTGTTTAAAATACTTTTTACTTTTAATTTGGTATATGGTTTAATAATTGGTTTTTATATTTTAGGAATATTAATTAAATAACATATTTTTAATAATTTTATAACCTTTAATTTTATTTTATGTTTTAGGAATATTTAAACATTTTTTTTTAAATATTAAACCCTTAGGCACCTCGTTAAGTACAATAAAATTTAACATTTTCCATAGCAAAAAGATGATAATTTAAAGAATTTAAAAATTAAAATTAATTATAAATAAATATTGTGTACCGTATTTTTTTGATCAAAATAAATGTTTTAAGATTATTTCTTGTTTTCATTAATTTTTTAACCTGCTTTCTTTTTTTATCCTAATGATTTGGTAGGGGGCAAGTAATATATATAAAAGGCAGTTTAATTTTAGCTGTATTACATTCTAGAAGTAGAATAAAACAAGATGCATTCTGTAAAAAATTTCATCATAAAAATGAAACAAGTTAGAGAAGAAAGAAGACAATTGAGAAAAAACAACGAGAAGCTGCAAGATCCTGAAGAATGGCAGGACGATTTTACTGAATTCGATTTGTTTGGGATCAGATTTTTAGAAAGATGGGGATAGTTACCTGGATGATTGGTTCCACCCAGCGTGGACCAAAGGATACCTATGGTTTTACAATTTATAAAAAATAAAGTTTTAAAAATATTTAATGTTTTAATTAATCCTGTTAAATAAATTTATATATGTTATAAATAAAAAAACAACAATAATGTTATTTAATAATGTGTTTGTGTGTGTTTTTTTTTTTGGAGGTTAAAGTTGTGCAAGTGTACGCCAGTACCCTTTTCAAAGGGGGAGTAACGCTCTTGAAATGGTAAGACATCCCTGCAAAAGGTGCAGTTTCTCCTACGATAAGAGTTGAGTTATATAAAGTACACTGGCATGCGTTGATTACTTCCTTCTTTGGACATTCCACACATATTTTTTTTTAAAATTAATCCTTATCTTAATTTTTACCACACCCGCTTGGACCGCAAAAAATTGCTCTAAAGGAACTTGGTAGTAAATTACCATGTTTACTAACATCAGAACTGGTTTCAAATAAATCTAAATTATTTATAGGTAGTTTTTCGGGTTGTTGAATGTAACGCATTTTAAGGACTGAACTAAAATAGTTTTGTTAAGGAATATAAATAATAAAGTTTATTCAATTAATTCGACAACATGTAGTTTTTGGTAATTTTTTAAGCACCTCGTTAGCTTTTTCACATAAAATGAAACCATACAACATGGACATGTATCTGGACCTTCATCCGAATTTGACCAGGGGCACGTCTCAAAATGTATACCATACTGGTTATTTACAATATTAGCATTAAGATGCTGCTCCAAAAATTCTTTTTGACTAATACATTTTTTAATTTTTTCCTTTTTCAAAAATTCTCGATATATTTCACGTTGAGTAGGATATTTATTTTCAAATTTTTCTTCACCTTCTTTACAACATTTTTCCAAAAATTTATCAATATTTTGGATTGCCATTTCAATTTCCTTTGCACTAATCATTATTACTACCTGATGATATTAAGACTGAATAATACTGAATGTTGTGAGATGGGGTGGCGTTATAATTCCTAAAAATGAAATTTATATTAAATTTAATAATAATAAATCCTTATCAATTACGCATATTAACTTTTCTAGAACTTTAGCGGTTTGGTAGCTGTAAACAGGGTGTAATTTCCGTTTTAAATCAAGGAATCGTATTGGTTCATATAACACCACCAATATAAATAGCAAACAATTCTTATAATAATTCATTTATTATTAAAAAGCAGATATGAATGTATTAGAGTGTATGGTAAGCTGTTCATATGACAGCAGCCACAGAGTTCTTTTAAAGAGGTTACCGTACCATAAAATAAGATGCTTGGCGAATAACCCAGCGGCTAGGGCTGGGGCTTCAACCACCAATTGGAATAAGGTTGGGACGCAGACCTTTCCGGAGCCCAATCAACAAAATGAAGAAGTGTGGGAGCTCCCGGAGCACAATCAACAAAAAGAAGAAGTGTGGGAGCTTCCAGAGCCGAATCAACAAAAAGAAGAAGAGTGGGAGCTCCTGGAGGGTCCATCCAGGAGCTATTTGGATCAACTCCCACCTTTAAAAATAAAGCCTAGGAAGAAAAAAAATAAAACGTTTTGTTGATTAAACAATTATAATTTTCCAATTTTGTATTTACCCTTATATTACACATTAAAATTATGGTTAAAACTCAAAGGTAACTTTAAAAAGTATAATATAAATACAAATAGTAATTATCAAGCCTCCAAAAATATTAATTGTAAGAAAAATGGAGCTAGCCCAAATAGACTTGTCTGAACAAGTCGGATGACGTCATAAATATTAAATTCATATATCCAATTTTGGTGCTTTCAATAAGAATGAATTTCAATAATTGCACAATCCCTTCCCTTTATAGTCGAACCCCGCAATTACATCTCACCACTGTGAATATATTAATTACAATTACAATTTTTAGGTTAATTTTGTGCGCCCCCGTAATATTTGGTACGAGCTTAATTTGTACGCTCCTGTGTGTGAGAAAAACAACGCCAGTGTGGCGCCAGAATAAATTAAAATTTCGAAATATTGTGCAATTACTGGACTTGAGAATCAACCGGGCAAGTGGCGCTACCACGAGTCATAATTTTGCACTTCCCAGTATTACTTTTACAATTGGTTGGCGGCCATTTTGAATTCAACAAGCCCCGCCCATCATTATTTCTGCAATTGGTTGGCGGCCGGCGGCCATTTTGAATTTCCCGCCTATCGTGTAACGCCAACGAGTGCACAGCCCAGCATGTGGCGCCACCATGCGGCCGAAATGTGAAGTAGTGAGCCAGAAGCCCCATAGCTACTCTACTTACATTGTTGCATATCATATTTTCTTGCGTGTTTTTTTTCATTTCTCATGAATTTTATTAAACACCGCTACTTTAATTTCTTAAATTTAAAATGCATAAATGTGATTTAAATGTGCTGATTTCACTTTTGTATAATGTAACTTTTCTTGTTAACATGTGTCTAATGATAAAATTAAATGCTGACATGACAATTATTTTCATATAAAACCTTTTAAAATTATAATTTAATTTTATTTTACAAGAAACGTTTGTTGTTTTGTGTTTATATAATCAAAGTTAAAAAAATGTTTTTCACAAGTTTCATTACGATGTGGTGTATCATAAAAATGGTTAGTTTGGCACCATTAGACCCATCAGAATATAAAACTAATTCATCCAGACGATGTGGTGGAGGTGGTGGCAGCTTGCAGATGGTTGTTAATTGTGATGAAAAAATTGCTTTTTGCAATAAGGAAAACCATAGGCTAAGTTTGGAAAATTTGGAAATGCGAAAAGAAATTGATGAATTAAAAAATAATTTAAATAGAGAGAACGAAAAATGCAAATTGACTGTGGAAATTATGGAAGAACAATATATAGAAGAGTGTAATGGCCAAGTGTTGATTGCGAAGGATTTAGTTAAGGAGTGTTATGTTAAAGTGAAAGGACTCGAGGAAGAAAATGTTAAAATAAGTATGTTAAAATTAGATTTACAAAGTAATTTAGAAATAATTAAAAATTTAAACCAAACAATAAAAGATTTGCAATGGGAAAATATAAAATTAAATAATTTATATAAAATTATTATACACTGATCAGATCAGATAGTTTAATTTATGAATTTACCAATTTAAATATTTATGATATTATTGTAACGTTTTTAACTGTTCGTAGTGTGAATTAAAACACGCACTGGTTAATTAACGAACTAAACTATTTATTTAATAACTTAACTACACTTAAAACACTATAAAACTTACTAAACACTTAACTACTAATTATTTATATATCACTACTCTGCCGTCCAACGGAAAAACACTGTATGTTATCATTTCTGAAATGATAACATACGGTGTTTTTCCATTGGACGGCAGTACTGTACTATAGTCTATTTATTTGCACGTATATTTATTTATTTCGACGCGAGTACCAAATCTTAACCAACTGCTCTGTGCTGCTCAGTTCCTTATATATTCAGCACCCAAGTCTTCTGGAACATTCCAGCGAGCTCCACACTCTCGATTGTTCTAGCGCTGACTCACCAGCGATAACTCACCGGCGATGACTCATCGGCGATGAGTCATCATTCTGATATCCAGAGCCGTACTTGCTACATTTCCCCCGTCTTAAAACATTTTAGTCCCGAAAAGGGTCCTCAGCTCCATGGCGATATTTGCATAGAGATCCAAACTTGCATTGTGACGTCCTATAGAAGTAGCAGTCTACGGTCTTCCTACCGGTTGTTATTTTAGGGTTGTGGCAACAGACAAGAATGTGTATGCCACTAAATCTGAAGATAACTTCCACCATACTTCTAATTATTCTCCAGTCTAAACTCTTAAGTCCACAAGCAATTTTCGGTATCGTCAGGTTCCTGATGTCCTTGGACAAAAGGGTATCCCTCAATTTATTTAAGGCATTCCATATGTCACGGTAGTTTGGCTTCTGATGGGAGAAATGCTTTGTTACCAGATAGAAGATACTTCGGTTGCCTTTCTGCTCATTATCCACAATTTCAAGCACCTCTCCAACTTTGGGATTCTGCCTTCGTAGATCGTCGACCCGTCCAAACTTGTTTTTAAATACAACCGCTATTCCCCTGGACATCCTTAGGTCTTCTGCAACACAGTGAGCCGAAACCGTGAACAGATCTTTTTGTTCTTCTCGAGTGACACCATACCGAGCTTTTTTACCGCTCGAATATAAATACATGAAGTCTTCAAAAGGCAACTCGTCTTCCGGCGGATTAACCGTCCTTACTCTAGCAACGTTTATTTGGTCATCATTGTTTCCAGCGTAGGGAGCCAATCGGTTAAAATGGATCACTTTCGGCTTTCCTCTTGGTTGTTTCCTGATCCTGTAAATGATGTCATTTATTCGATCCATGACTTCGTAAGGTCCCTCCCAAGAAGTCTGCAGTTTCGGTGAATAACCACGTCGGCGCTGAGGGTTGTATAACCAAACTAGGTCTCCAGGTTGAAATCCTCCATTTTCCGCCTTGATGTCATATGCCTCTTTCATTCTATCACTGGCACTCTGGATGTTTAAACGAACTTGGCTGTAAATGTCGCTCATTTAAATGCTAACGTAATCTTCTCCAGCAATGTCTTTCCCAGGTAGGCAACCAAACCTCAAGTCACAAGGTAGACGAAGTTCACGTCACATAACAATGCTAGCGGGTGTCTGGCCTGTTGTATCGTGGACAGAAGAAGGGTACGCCAACAGGAACAGATGAAGGAAGCGCTCCCAGTCTCTTCATTGATCAGAGACTACCTTGGACAGGTACCGGTTTATCGTTCGATTCATTCGTTCTACCATTTCATCAGATTGCGGATGTAATGCAGTCGTTCTCGTCTTTCGAATGTTAAGAATCTTACAGACATTCTGGAACAATATAGATTCAAAGTTCCTGCCTTGGTCTGAATGCATCTCCATTGGCACACCAAAACGACAAATCCACTCCTTAATAAGGACATCGGCCACTGTGGTAGCTTCCTGGTTTGGCAAGGCGGACGCCTCCGCCCACTTGCTAAATGCAGTGTAGCTGACCCTTTCAATCCCTATCCGTTCTTGAGGAATAGCAACCTTGGAACATAAACTCCATAGATCGGTCCGTGCACACCGGCATGTGGGACCCAAGACCCGTTGTATCTCACCTGGCTCAGCAGGTGTGTCCCTGCTGGAGGTGTATCTCACCTGGCTCAGCAGGTGTGTCCCTGCTGGAGGTGAGGAGAAACCGAGCACTGGTGCAGCCTACTCCTACAGGCAGATCGGGTAGATAAACCATGTTTGGTTTTGGGCTAGCAGCAATAAAATGATATGCCGTTTACATACATTTTATCTAAGCTCACACCGCGTCTGGAGTTCTTGGTGCACATGCCTTCTTACCACTCTATTTAATAATCGGGAAGGAGTTAAGGACAAAAATAATACCTTGACGTAGCAATCATGATGTGTTTCCCGATAAAAATTAATAATAATCGTAATTTCCGGCAATGAGACTCCGTTCACGGGGAAAATGCTTCCCGATTTGCCCGGACGTCTAACCCGCAAGCCAATTCCGTTGAAAAGGCAAACAAAACCCGTAACCCCATGATTTCTGCTGAGGTCATGGCCTAACCGTCGTCCCCGCCGTCGCCGACGCCATCGAAGCCGTCCCCGGTAAAATGGTTTGACAATAAAGCTGTACATATTGCTTCCAACTTTAATAGCCTCAACCCCATTAAAAGGGTAAAAAGGTGGTATATTGCCGATAAAAATATATTGGTGTGAGGCGATTATAAAAGAATATAACCTATACATGGGTGGTGTAGATTAAAACGATATGCTAGTATCTTTTATAATTTTGTTGTAAGGCGATATTATTTACGTATTGTGTATAATATTTTGGACGTGAGCATTGTTAACGCTTGGCTTTATTATCGACGTCACTGTGGCCAACGAGGACAAAAATACAAATCATTACTGGTGTTCAGGGCTGAACTAGGAACCTGCTTAATCAAAATTCTTTTACCAAAAAGCGATTAGGAAGACCATTACGAGAGAATTCTTTAACCAACCAACAACCACCAACAAATCCAGTAGAAGATTTACGTTATGACAACAATTCCCATTGGCCTAAACACATTGAGCCGAAAAAGCGATGCCGCAACTGCGTTAAAGCCTATACCAGAATGGGATGCATAAAGTGTAATGTAGAGTTTCTTTTAAAATAATTTGTTTTTCTTTCTAAATATATAAAATTTAAATTTTTTTGCTGTAGTCTTATTTAGGATCCAATTTAAATCTAAAGACTAAATTTTTTTTTTTTTAAAGCAAAATAAGTTGGTCTGGAAAGGGTTAAACTAAAACTTTTTATATTATTAAATTAACATTAGTACGATACCTACTTAATACTTATTTCAGTATTTTTTGGAGGTATGACCCTACCCCGGCCGGTCATAATAGTTAAGTCATTATTTGAGAAAATTAATATTCTCATAATGCAAACTCTGCATTGCGACTGTGTTCAAAAACATAAAAACTAGTTTCCTAAAAAGTCATCCGCATGCTTATATAAAGAAAATCACAAGCAAAAATATA